CTAGCAGGTCGTTTCCCAACCTATACTGGAACCTGGGGTTGTTCCTGCCCAGATGCAGGACTCTACACTTTCCCTTGTTATATTTCATCCAGTTATTCCCTGCCCAACTCTCCAGCCTGTCCAGGTCTCGCTGGATGGCAGCACAGCCTTCTGGCGTGTCAGCCACTCCTCCCAGCTTAGTGTCATCAGCAAACTTGCTGATAGTACACTCAATTCCCTTATCTAAATCATTGATGAATATATTAAATAATACTGGTCCCAGTACTGACCCTTGAGGTACTCCACTAGTTACAGGCCTCCAACTAGACTCAGCCCCATAGACTACAACTCTCTGGCTTCTCTCCTTCAGCCAATTTGCAGTCCACCTCACTACCTGATCATCCAGTCCACACTTCCTCAATTTAGCTGTGAGGATGCTGTGGGAGACTGTGTCAAATGCTTTGCTGAAGTCAAGGTAGACCACATCCACCGCTCTGCCATCATCCATCCACCGTGTTATTTCCTCATAAAAGGCTGAGAGATTGGTCAAATATGATTTCCCCCTGGTGAAGCCATGTTGACTGCCCCTCATAACCCTCTTATCCTTGATATGCCTTAAGATGGCACCAAGGATAAGGTGTTCCATCACTTTCCCAGGGATGGAGGTGAGGCTGACCGGTCTATAGTTACCCGGGTCCTCCTTCTTGCCCTTTTTGAAGACTGGGGTGACATTTGCTTTCCTCCAGTCCTCAGGCACCTCTCCCGTTTCCCAAGACTTGGTAAAGATGATGGAGAGTGGTCTAGCAATGACTTCCGCCAGTTCCCTCAGCACCCGCGGGTGCATCCCATCTGGACCCATGTATTTATGGATGTCCAGATTGCTCAACTGGTCTCTAACCCATTCCTCATCGACTAAGGCAAACCGCTCCGTCGACCTGACTTCATCTAAGGTCTCAGGGGTATAGGGCTCTTCAGGACTGCCTGCAGCAGAGTAGACAGAGACAAAGAAGGCATTCAGTAACTCTGCCATCTCTGTATCTTCTGTCACCAGGGCACCCATCCCATTCATCAGTGGGCCTACATTGCCTCTGGTGTTAGTTTTGTCTGCCATGTATTTGAAAAAGCTCTTTTTGCTGTCCTTGACCCTTCTAGCCAGGTTTAATTCTAAGGAGGCCTTAGTCCTCCTAGCTGCCTTCCTACATCCTCTAGCAGCAGCCTTATATTCCTCCCAAGTGGCCAGCCCCTCCTCCCATGACCTGTAAACTCTCCTCTTCCACTTGAGCATACCCAGCAATTCCCTATTTAGCCACGCAGATCTCCTGGCCCTCTTCCTTGACTTCCCTCGTGTCGGGATGCTCCGATCTTGAGCTCGGAAAAAGCAGTCCTTGAATGTCAACCAACTATCTTGGGCCCCTTTACCTTCAAGCAGCCTTGCCCATGGGATTTCCCCTAGCAATTGTTTGAAAAGGCCAAAGTTTGCCCTGCTAAAGTCCAGGGTTGCAATTCTACTTGGTATTCTACTAGTCTACCACACAAGATCCTGAACTCCACCATCTCGTGGTCGCTGCAACCAAGGCAGCCCTCAACTCTTACTGCTTCAACCAGATCCTCCTTGTTAGTGAGGATGAGATCCAGCAGCTCTCCTCTCCTGGTCGGCTCATCCACAATTTGCATGAGGAAGTTATCATCCAGACTCTGAAATACTCACTGATTAATAACCACATAGAAGCTAAAGCTCTAATAAGAAAAAACAAGAGCAAGATGCCAGCTGGAAAAATGCTTTACAAAAATATACCCCTAAACTCTCTTTCTCAAGTGGTATGTATTATCCTTTTTTTGTTAGAGTATATTTTCAGAGCACCCTGAGCTACTTCACACCTGGCAAGGCTCTGATAGATGTGACAATTTTTTTTGGCAAGTTTAAAACTCATATACATATATGAAACTTCTATATATAAAATATTTGTCTTCATGTAATTTAACTGCTAATTTGAAAAGCTACACGAACATAGATTATCTCTTTAATTAAAATTCTGTGTAGATTATTCAATATGGATTGATTGATTTCAGGAATTTATTAAATGGCTTATTTCAATGAAAAAATAAAATAACTGAAACAACTTAGCATTTTGAGGTATTTCATTCAGCTCAAAACATGAAAAATAACCTAATAATAGGGTAAACTTACATTGAAACCTTGGAGAAGATTATAATTGTAATAATGTTGAGTAAAAGTGTCAATGATTGCTGAACTGTTTATGATTAGGCATTTTTAAATGAATTATAACTTTTGTGTAAATGTTACTGGATAAGGCTTGCATAGCCAGCCAGTGAAGTGTGTCCTTTTTTATTTGATTGGGTTCTATTTTGCTACATCTCTGAAACAGAAGCAAAACAATATTTTTTTTGGGTAAGAAAGCATAAATTCCTATTTTCTTGTCAAATAAATACAAAAAGACATCCTCCCTATTCAAAGGAGGATCTTTGTGAAGATCCACATAAGAAGCCTTACTCAGCAACTTAATGATTAAAGGGTTTCTTTTGTTTTTAAATCCTGTGTAAATTCATAGAAGCCAGTCTGACTTCTTCCATAATTATAAAAGCACTTTGAAAATATATTTAAATATGTCATCAAAATTAAATGAAATGTTTTGTTGAAGACAAGCCTCTTCATTGAAAAGGGAGAACATATTCAGAATTCACTGTATGTTGTGAAGCAGGTAGTTTTTGAAAGAACTGACAGCAAAAATATGGAATCTCTTGAACATTTACCTCCATCAAATGATACAGAACATTCACATGGCGTTTTTCTTCCTTATTGTCCATTTCCACTTGTCTATCCTGTCTCTAGCAATACCAGACATGTTAACACCTCTATTTTATATATGCAGTTGAGATAATAACATAATTTGTCATTCATCATCCGTGTCTTGCTATAGAGCAAAACAAATCTCTTTGTAACTACTATAAAATAAAATCTTCCACTCTGTGCTTGTTAATATTCTAAAGCAAGATATGTTTCAAACAGCCAGAATAAATTCTAGTGTCAAATACATGTTGAAAATGTTAAATCAAAAGATTATAATACTGAAAACATTCTAGGTGTGACTGTCTATAGAATATATCTGTCATGGATGCTAAAACAGACATGGAAATGTATAATTTGGAAAACAACAAAAGTTTCCAAGATGAAAACTTCAGACAAAGAGATGTGAACATTCTGGGAGTAGTAGTTTAAGCCCAGCTGATAACTCAGAACCACACAGCCGATCAGTCACTCCCCCCGTTCTTCCTCCCCACACTCCCGGAGGGATAGGAAGGAGAATTGAAAAAATGTAGCTACCATGGGTTGAGATAAGAACAGTCCAGTAAATAAGGCATAATACAAAACCACTGCTGCTACCACCAATAATAATAATAAGGGAAATAACAAGGGAAGAGAATACAACTGCTCACCAACTGCCAACAGATACCCAGCCTCACCCGAGCAGCAATCTTGACCTTCTGGGTAACTGCCCCCAGTTTATATACTGGGCATGATGTGCTGTGGTATGGCATACCCCTTTGACTAGTTTGGGTCAGGTGTCCTGTCTCTTCTTCGTCCCAGCTTCCCCTTCTCCCTGGCAGACCATGAGACTGAGAAAGTCCTTCATTGGAGTAATCATTACTTAGCAATAACTAAAAACATCGGTGTTATCAGCATTGTTCCTAGGCTGAAAGTCAAAAAAGCAGCACTGCACCAGCTACTAAGAAGGAGAAAAATTACTGCTACTGCTGAACCTAGGACGGTATCTACCCCTTATTGCCATTCACATCATGATCAGATCCCATATTTTTCAATATACCATCACTTTTGTCTCATCTGTATATGTATATATGTATATATATATATACACACACACACACACACACACACACACAAAGAGGGAGGTATCATGTGTTAGTCCATGCACCCTATGAAGCTGCTGAGTTTATCCGGGCCATGATGTCGGGCTCCATCTCTTGTATGAGTTTTTCAGAGCAAGACAGATGGTGTGCAGTGTGGGACTGTTGCCTGCTGATGACACCGCAGAACTCATCTGGTCACTGCTGAGCTCGTCTGGTTTTGTTAAAGTTCATTCTTTGTTGGGATGATGATTGGAGGGAAGTTCGGGCCAGTTGCTGGTGACCTGAAGACATCTAGTTGGTGCTCTATAAAAGGGCTACATAGCAGGCAATAGCATACAATTGAGTTCATTGGCTGTTTGCCCCTAAAATCAAATCCCCTTGAAGTATACATCAGACTTCCCCATCTTCCCGCATTACCCACCAAGTATATCAGGGTGCCTGAGTAAAAGCAATCCCACGAGTGGGTTTGCCTTTACCTGGAGCAGGAATAACCCAGACTGTCTTCCCCAGCAAATTCTTCATATGCACCATGGGAACTTTGTCCCCCTCTACAATATGTAAAAGTTCTGACTGGGCTGGGCCAGCCCTGTTGGCAGATCCTCTGGTGTTGACCAGCCAGTGGCCTTTGGTAAGGGTGTATTCCAATGTTTGAAAGTCCCACCACCCATTGCTCTCAGTGTAGTTTTTAACAGCCCATTGTACCATTTGATTTTCCCAGGGGCTGGTGCATGGTAGGGGATGTGATATACCCATTCAGTGCCCTACTCTTTCACCCAAATATCTATAAGGTTGTTCCAGAAATGAGTCCCATTGTCTAACTCAGTTCTCCCTGGTGTGCCGTGTCACCACAAGATTTGTTTCTCAAGGCCCAGGATAGTGTTCCTGGCAGTGGTGTGGGGCACAGTGCATGTTTCCAGCCATCCGATGGTTGATTCCACCATGGTAAGCACATGGCGCTTGCCTCGGCGTGTTGGTGGGAGTGTGGTATAATCAATCTGTCAGGCCTCCCATATTTGTGCTTCAGCCATCGTCCTCCATACCAAAGAGGCTTTAACCATTTAGCTTGTTTAATTGCAGCAAAATGTTTCACACTCATGAATAACCTGGGCAATAGTGTCCATTGTTAAGCCCACCCCTCGATCATGAGCCCATCTGTATGCTGCATCTCTGCCTTGATGGCCTGAAGTGCCATGGGCCCACCTGGCCAAAAATAATTCACCTTTATGTTGCCAATCTAAGTCCATCTGAGCCACTTCAATCTTAGCTGCTTTATCCACTTGTTGGTTGTTCTGGTGTTCCTCAGTGGCCCTACTCTTGGGTACATGGGCATCTACATGACGTACCTTCACCACCAGGTTCTGTACCCGGGCAGCGATATCTTGCCACAGTGCAGCAGCCCAGATGGGCTTACCTCTGCGTTGCCAGCTGCTCTGCTTCCATTGCTTCAACCACCCCCACAGGGCATTTGCCACCATCCATGAGTCAGTATAGCTATAAAGTACTGGCCACTTTTCTCGTTCAGCAATGTCCAGGGCCAGCTGGATGGCTTTCACCTTGGCAAACTGACTCGATTCACCCTCTCTGTCAGCAGTATCTGCGACTTGTTGTCCAGGACTCCATACAGCTGACTTCCATCTCCGATGCTTTCCCACAATACAGCAGGACTCATCAGTAAATAAGGCATATTGCTTTTCACTTTCTGACAGTTTATTATATGGTGGGGCCTCTTGAGCACGCATCACTTCCTCCTCTGGTGACATTCCAAAATCTTTGCCCTCTGGCCAGTCCATGATGACTTCTAGAATGCCTGGATGACTGAGATTTCCTATTCGAGTTCGTTGTGTAATTAGTGCAGCCCATTTACTTCATGTAGCATCAGTTGCATGATGTGTAGAGGAGACCCTGCCTTTGAACATCCAGCCCAGCACGGGCAACCGGGGTGCCAGGTGGAGCTGTGCTTCCGTGCCAGTCACTTCCAAAGCAGCTCCAACCCCTTCATAGGCTGCCAGTATCTCTTTCTCAGTTGGGGTACAGCTGGCCTCAGATCCCTTGTATCCCCGTCTCCAAAAGCCGAGGGGTCTACTTTGAGTCTCCCCTGGAGCTTTCTGCCAGAGGCTCCAGGTAGGACCATTCTCCCCAGTTGTGGTGTAGAGCACATTTTTAACATCTGGCTTGGTCCAGACTGGTACAAGGGCCACTGCATGAACTGTCTCTTGTTTAATTTGTTCAAAGGCTTGTTGTTGCTCAGGGCTTCATTTGAAATTATTCTTCTTCCAGGTCACATGATAGAGAGGGCTTACAATCGAACTGTAGTTTGAGATGTGCATTCTTCAGAACCCCTAAGAACGCTTGTGTTTCTTTCTTATTAGTTGGTGGAGACATTGCTATTATCTTGCTGATCACATCTGTGGGGATCTGGTGATGTCCATCTTGTCATTTTATTTCCAAAGACTGACTCTCCTGTGCAGATCCTTTGACCCTACTCCATTTTATGGCAAAACCGGCTTTCAGCAGGATTTCGGTTATTTTCCTCCCTTTCTCAAAGACTGCTTCCGCTGTATCACCCCACACAATAATGTTATGTATTGCAGGTGTTTTGGAACTTGCCCCTGTTCCAGTGCAGCCTGAATCAGACCATGGCAGATGGTAGGGCTGTGTTTACACCCCTGGGCCTGTCAGTTGCCCAGGCCCCCCAGAGCCGATAAACACTAAACCAGCAAATACTGGCTGTAAGTAAGGTACAATATGCTGAAACTCTGAGATCAAGAGTAACAACTTTGAGAGCCAATAAATCAGCACTGTGATGAGTGTCTATTAATCCGAAACAATGAATGGTTATCATGAATACGATTAGACGCACTCTAGTCAGATCTGTCATTATCTCAACCTTTCCTGTCATGTCCCATCTTTGTCGCCACAAAGAACTGTTGTTTAAGCCCAGCCAGCAACCCAGAACCACCCAGCCACTTGCTCACTCTCCCCATTATTCCTCCCCCCACCCCGCTCCCTGAGGGATGGGAAGGAGAATTGTAAGAATGTAACTCCCACGGGTTGAGATAAGAACAGCCCAGTAACTAAGGTATAACACAAATCACTGCTGCTACCACCAATAATAATAGTGATAAGGGAAATAACAAGGGAAGAGAACACAACTGCTCACCAACTGCCAACCGATACCCAGCCTCACCCGAGCAGCAATCTCGCCCTTCTGGGTAACTGCCCTCAGTTTATATAACCTGGGCATGATGTGCTGTGGTATGGCATACCCCTTTGACTAGTCTGGGTCAGGTGTCCTGTCTCTGCTTCCCCCCGGCTTCCCCTCCTCCCTGCAGAGCATGAGATGCAGAAAGTCCTTGGTCAGAGTAAACATTACTTAGCAACAGCTAAAAACATTGGTGTTATCAGCATTGTTCCCAGGCTGAAAGTCAAAACCACAGCACTGCACCAGCTACTAAGAAGGAGGAAAATGACTGCTACTGCTGAACCCAGGACAATGGGCAATATGTTTTCAAGTTTGAATGGACATGCCTTATTCCTGGAAGCATCCAAGGCCAGGCTGGACAGTGTTTTGAGCAAGCTGATCTAGTGGAGGATAGCCCTACCCATGGCAGGGTGTTGGAACTTGATGACCTTTAAGGTCCCTTCCAACCCAAACCATTCTATGATTCTGTATGTCTCTAACTAGAAATGCTCCTGTAGCTCCTGTGTCTGTGCTTTAGCGACAACTGTAGCAGCAAAAAACCAAAAAGAATACCTGATCCAATCAAGCCAACAGAAAAACCCAATCACTTAAAAGTTTTGTTAAAAATATTAGTTTTCCTACATCTTTGTTGGATGCTACTGTTACTTATTTTAAGAAATCCCATATTTTGTAGGCATGTGTTGTAATATGCAGACTTCTGGCAAGATACCAGGATAATTAAAAGAGATAGTTAGTCTGAGATAAATTTTAGTTCTACATAAGGTACCGTTCCTGAGTTATCTCCCTTAGCTTTCTTAGAACTTGACCTTTTCCTTAGAACTTCAAAGAAATGGGAATCATGCCTGGAGTACTGTCTTTCTCACTGTGCTGTCAAATCTGTCCATTGTCTCTCACGTCTTTCCTAATTTGCAGCTGGCTAGTAACTGGTCAGTTTATTCATGACACAGTGATTGAGAACAACAGATTGAAAAATGGCTCATTTCTTTGTACTGATGGTGCTCAGAACCTAACTATTAGGAAAACATAAAACATAAAAATTCTCACAGGATGTTGTGCTTTTCTTTAACCATAAAGTGTTTATTGTGACTATCCTTCCCAGAGATTAAATGGAAGTGACATTTTTGAATATATTACTTTTTTGGTAAGAAAAGAATACTCAGTATACATAAGAGAGAGCAAATGGTACCAAGGCAAGGTAATGAGAACAGAATGCAGGTTATGGAAAGAGGAGAAAAGACAGTATAGAAGGCAGAGTGAAGGTTAGAGATACGGAAAGGAGCAAGCAGATGTGCCAGAAGCTGTTATCTTCTTGTACCAGAGAAGAGTCTGATGTTTTCAAACTTGGCTAGTAATTCTGTTATGTTTAAGTGGTCAGTGTATTCCTTTGTAAATTTGTGATCAGTTTCATGAATAGCAATACAACCAGTTGCTTTCAGCCAGTTCTACAAAAGGTCTAACTTGTATCTAGGCTTAATGGAATGTTATTTATTTCATAATTCTTTTCTTTAGGAAAAGAAACAAGCTATTATGAGTATTTCTGGAAATTTTTCTCTGTGATCTTTTCATTTTTATCCTGGTGAACTTCACTAGAAACTCAATACCCTGTGACATCTCTGTGGTAGGCTTTCAAATTTGCTTTAGTCAGAAATGATAAAGATCTCTGTAGTAATCTACAATTTCACTCTGGTAATAACCTGTTAAATAAAATCTAACATAAAGATTCTGCAGGTTATTATTTTATAATAATCTCCAACTATTCTTGGTTATTATTTCCATTTAACTCCTTTAACATCCTTCTTACCTAGTTTCAGTCAACAATGACTTTTGTTGCTGTTAAATCCAAATATGATTTTAGTTTCTATCTGCATTCCTCTCATAGATTTTCAATTCCTTACCCAAATAGTGACAGACTGGAGTAAAAAATATACCTCTGGGTCATCTTTATTATTTACTTGTATTTCAGAAATAGCTTCAGTGTCTACTGAGCTGACACCTTTCGGACTAGGAAAGCTTCATTGATTTTCATCATAGTTTTCCTGCGGCTGTTCATAGAGTTTCCTCTACAGAAAATGCTTTTATAAATCCCTTTCCATAACTCATACCATTTGTAGGGGATATCTTAATGACAGTTTCTTGTATATGAACAGGTTGATGTGGATAATTAACAATGATGATGCATTTTGGAAGCTAAGGAAAAAGAGGTTTTGTGAGGCTTTTTTTGAACTAGACTTCCATTGGATTTCTCTCTTAAGGAATTCTTACTCTTTTGCAGTTCTCATAGACAATAACAATCAGGAGTGGATATTTTTAGCATGAATCATCCTCTTTGTGCCCAGCTAATTTTATACATATATTTGTCACAGAAAAAGCCAAGCATCTGTTAACAGCAACCCCAAGATAAGACACTAGTGTGTGAAATCGCATGTATTCATGTGCAATAAGTAAAGCTACTATGTGCACCAACATTTTATAACTGGATAGATCATCAGCAAACTGCTTAGTCCAGTTTTGTGACTAAGCCTCTGAAACTGTTATATTAATTATATTAGATTTGAGTACTTTTTTTTTTTTTTTTTCTGGAAAAGGTCTGTGGTAAGGTAAAATAAAGTGTGTTTTGGTTTTTTTTTTTTTTTAGATCTGCTATGAGCACCATGCAGTCTGTTAGCAAAGAAGGTGAAATTTAATTGTTGAAAACAGGCAAATATTTCTAGATGAACTTACTTACAACTCATACTGCTGCTTAATATTGGAACGCCTCAGACTTGAGTCAGAAATTAATCGTGTTAGATTGAACTTGCAAGTGCTTCTTTCTAGTTTTTCAGTTACTATTCTAAAGTAGTCTAGAGGTACAGTGAAAGATATATTGTTTAAAAGCTTGAGTGGTATAGAAGAAACTTATTCTTGTTCACTCATTTTCTGGTTTTGACATTTTGCAATGTTGTGGGGAATGCTCCTTACATATAAACCAAAGAACAACTTTGGAAGTGGTGGAATCTGTCAAATAGAATAAGTAGAGCCTCTGAAGCCCATTGAAACAGGACTGCCTTGTCCTTACTTCTTTCTTCCAATTTCCATGAAAAAATGGCTGAAAGACTCAAAGCTGTGAACAAATTTGGATTTTAATTCAGGTAAAACCAAGTAAAAGCTAGACCGTAAAAGTAACTTGTTGCTGTGTTTGCACTTCCAGGCTAGAAACTACAACAGGCTTACTAATAATTTATTAAACCACTTAAGCAAGTTTGTTTTTTTTTTTTCCGGTTAGGAAGGCCTGCCACCCGCTGTCTCTGCAGCTGATGTTACTGTTCTTTCTGGGCTGGAGAAGATTTTATTCAAGATGGCTCAGTCACCTTTTCAGCTGAGTGCATCTTTTCCATAATCCTCAAGACTTTCTGCCAGATCACATACTTCATCATTTAAGTGATCCCCAAATGCAGCCCAATTCTCTGTTCAACCTTTATGATTCTAATTTTGTGATTTGGCATGTGTCTTTTCATTAGTTTTATTACTTTTCTGCTATAACAAATTTTACAACTTTGTAAAAAATCATATAATCATAGAATTATAGAGCAACCCAGGTTGGATGGGACCTCAAAAGATGTTCTGGTCCAGACTTCAGAAAACCCCACAAAACCACAAAAAGACTCATTTTAAGCTCTGAGTGTTACTGTTATATAACAATAAGGTATCCATGAATGCTGGACAGTAACTCTGCAATACGCAAAATTATTCTGTAATAAAATCTCTGGTCTCATTGAGTACTGTCTCCTTTACAGATAAATC